CACTCCTCGGAAGGAAGGTTGGGCAATCCTACTTCCGTAGTGTTACTGCCTTGGAAACCCAAGGAGGGGTCGCTATGAGTCGGGGCCGACTCGACGGCACATAACAACAACAACAACAACAATTTAAAACCAAAACAAAAATCAAGTCATATCTGGTTGGGCAATCCTACTTCTGTAGTGACCCCACCTCGGAAACCCAAGGAGGGGTCGCTATGAGTCAGGGCTGGCCCGACAGCACATAACAACAACAACAACAACATCTGGTTTTAAATAGTTTACCCAAAACAAATGTTAAATAAAGCATTAAAAAAGAGTGGAAAAGATACATCAGCAAATTCTAACCAAAAGAATGTTAGAGTCAGCAGCATAAGTATAAAAAGGAATTTCAGAGCAAAATCACTAAACAATCAAGTAATATTTTCAAAGATAAAACACACAATCCACCAAGTAGATTTAACAGCAATAAACATTATATACCTAACAACACAGCACACACAAAAAAATAAAGCCAAAGTTGCTCAAATTACAAGAAGAAATTGATCCATTCAAAATCACAGGGAGGATTTTAACACATCCAGAGACTGTCAAACCAAGAGGAAAAATAAATAAATAGATTTTTGTGTGTGTTTGTGTGTGTGTGTGAGAGAGAGAGAGAGAGGGAGAGAGAGATTTGGGTGAAAGTTTACAGAGCAAATGAGTTTTCTATTCAACAAAATTATACAGAATTCTGTATACAAGTATTAAGTTTTATTCTCAAATATCAAAAAAATAAATAAATAAATAAAAAGCCACAAAAGAATCTAAATAAATTCCCCAAAAAAGTAGAAATTCAGGCCATATTCTCTGATCACAATACAATGATAATTAAAACAAATAACAAAAAGAAATTTTAAAACTCTTTTAATTAACTCTTATGCTAAAATATAAATGGAAGTTTAACAGACAACTCAGAAATTAATGATACTAGGAACATTACAGCTCAAAATCTAGAGGGAATGACCAAGATAGTACTTTCCTTGGCTTTTTACAATAGTGAACTAATACAATATTTGTCCTTCTGTGATTGACTTATTTCATTCATCATAATGTCCTCCAGGGAGCTCTGGTGGCATAGTGCCTAAGGCATTTGACTGCTAACCAGAAGGCTGGTGGTTCAAACCCACTAGCCAATCCTCTGAAGGCTGGGCAATCTACTTCCATAGTGATACCGCCTCAGAAACCCAAGGAGGGGTCGGTCGGTCGCTATGAATCAGATCTGACTCAACAGCAGTGAGTTTAGTTTTGTTTTTTTTTTGGAATGTCCTCCAAGTTCATCAATGTTATGCAGTGTTTTCCAGATTCTACATTATTCTTTAATGTTGCACAGTATTCCATTGTGTGTATGTACCACAGTTTATCTAGTCTTCTGTTGATAGGCACTTAGGTTGTTTCCATCTCTTTGCTATTGTGAATAGTGCTGCGATGAACAGGGGTGTGCATATACCTGTTCTTGTCCTGGCTCTCACTTCTTTAGGATATACCTAGTAATGGGATTGCTGGATCAAATGTTATTTCTAATTTCAACTTTTTAAGGGATCCCCATATAGAATTCCACAGTGGTTGTATCATTTTATAGTCCCACTAGCAGTGTATGAGAGTCCCAATTTCTCCACATGCTCACCAGCATTTGTTATTTTCTGTCTTGTTGAACTTTGCTGTTAGTGCTGGGGTGAGATGGTATCTCCTTGTTCTTTTGATTTGCATCTCTCTGATGGCTAATATAATTTCTTCTATGCTAGTGAACATTTCTTCACGTATTTGCTGGCTGCCTGAATTTTCTCTTTGGTGAAGTGTCTATTCATGTCTTCTGCCCATTTTATAATTGGATTGTTGATCTTTTTGTTATTGAAGTGTTGGGAGTTTTCTATAAATTTTAGAGATAAGTCCTTGTAAGATATGCTGTTGGCAATTATTTTTTTCCCCAGTCGTTAGGTTCTCTTTTTACTCTTTTGAAGAAGTCTTTTGAGGCACATACAAATTTAATTTTTAGAAGGTCCCATTCATCTAGTTTATCTTCAGCTGTTTGGGCATTTTGGGTTATGCTTGACAGT